CAGGTTGCAACCTGGGGGGAGTTTAGGAGTAAGACAACATTGCTATAGAAACAATTGTATATAAAACTTATTCGGTTTGGCTTCTCACAGTCATACATTACGAACCAGTGCAAATCAACCTGAAATGGGGAAATGGGTCAGTGTTGTGGCCCGCCAGTGGCCAGTGGAGCTGGCAGCACATTCATACTATGAGGAGGATGGGGAGGAACATGGGTCAGTCCTGGAGTCTGGGGAAGGCTCTGATGAGGGCTCTGTGTCAGAGGCTGAGAGGGGGGCAGAGCCGTATGCCAGTTATCAGCTGTCTTCAGAGTCAGACATCAGTGAGGGAGATGAACAGCTGAAGCCTGTTCCTAGTTTGCGCATGCACAGAGTTGCCAGAGGAAGGGAACAGCTAAAGAACAGGGGTTGACTTGGAAGTAAAGCCACAGGTGGACAGTTAATGCCCCCTCCCATAGGGAATAAAAGAGAGGCGAAAGGTGAGTGGCCTTTTGCAGGAAACAATTCGGTTGTTTGTTCGTTTCAGGAGTGTGAAGATCTGTCCGTGAATCTCAGAGACTCTGTGCCCAGTCTTTCCTTACACTGTGCTGCATTTGGACAATATTGGCAGCTTTCCAAGATAGATAAGGTCTGTGGTCATAAATATTCCTTTGAAAGACTGTTTACCAAGCCTTTGCTGAATGTGAATGAGAGGAATTCATGTTTGTTTAATAAAAGGGGTTTTGTCAGGACCAGGATTCTGCCTCGTGCTTTTCAGGGAAGCCTCGGGCAGAACACGGTCTTTGAAAATCTCAACCCAGAATGGCGTCCTTCTACAGAGGGTGTTTTACCCCAAGAATTCAACGGGCCACATCTTGGTTTCTTGACTATTTACCTTGCAAATATCCAAGGTTTACCCGGTTCATCACATCACAGGCTGTTAAATTTGCTACATCCTCTACGGAGCAACAGAGGGGAGGGGGAGAAGAAGAAACAAACAGAAATCAAACAGAAGAAAGGGAAGGACAGGGAAGAACAAAAGAGAACACAACACAGCACATACATAAACGGAGAGAAAGAGAAGAGAAAAAAAATCAGCAAGCAGCGATTGAGAAAGTATTCAGAAATGAGATTCGGTGGTCACACGGGCCAAATCATGTAATCCAAAGTATATATGTACATATAAGTTCAAAAAAGAGGAGCAAGCAAATTAAAAAGGACGCCAGGCGTTAATGGTGTTGCATGGACCAACAGGGTGACATGTCATAAAAACGGGTTTCGGACAATCTCCCTTAAACAAGATGGACTGAAGAACCATCTTTGATCAATCTTTCTACTGCCATTAAAACCTTCATCAGATCTGGAGAGTTTACTCAACCTCAAGTGCGGAGGAAGTGAAAATTGTCCCAGAAATTAAGAGCTTTGGCTACAGGAAACCGAGAAGAGAATTCATCGTTGCCGAAGAATTCCAAGCTACAACATGTTGGGTGAAATCAAACAAGGCTTGATGGCAGAAGCAAAGGGAACCACTTACCGTACCCTGTTGTGGGTAAGCCCAGATGTTTCATGCGATTCTTCACGAGCTCAGACAGTTCCTGCCTTTCCGACCGCCGGTAGAGATTCAGTCTCTGCTGATTGATCCACTCGGCCGTCTTTGAGGTCTGCTTGTTGGCTCCTTTGCGGCTCAGCCGCCGAGCCCACTGCATGCTTTTCCTCCGGAGAAGTGGGTGCTCCGTCTGGTCAGCAGGACATGAATTCCGGTGGTGGTGGTGATGGTGCGGCTTGGCGTTCCAAGTCTCCTTCCCTTCCTTGAGGTCTTCGCAGTCTTCCACATTGATTGAAATCTGTGACTGGCAAGACCAGTAGTTCATGAGGAGGAAGCCATCAGCAGCTTGAGGGTCTATGACAACTCACCTTGGCCAACTCAACAAGGTCAACTGACCAAGGCCAACTCACCATGGCCAACTCAGCAAGGCCAACTGGCCATGGCCAAGTCACCACAGCCAACTGGCCAAGGCCAACTTGCCAAGACCATCTTGCCATAACCAACTCACCATGGGACAAATTGCCATTGGCTAACTTGCCATAGCAGTGATCTACCCTAACAAAGAGGAATGATTTCTTTCAAAAAGAAATCATTGGTTAGCAATGAAAGACCCCGTTGACCAAAAGGATTTAGGTTGAATCGGTGAGAATCCATCTGGATCCAACAACATGCTAGGCTAGGTTAAAACAGCAACGGGCAAGTAGACATTCAAGGAGTTTTGGTGAGCCCAGCTCTTGCCTGCTTATCTTAGAATGAACCAGATCATCACAGGAAGTCAAATTAGGGTGTCCAGGTTGTGTGGCCCTATCCCTGAGTTCCCTCCATCTTGACTGGCTTTTGATTTGAAGAAGCAGGGGTTGGATTCTACTAGTTCTGACCGGTTTGGTTGAACTGGTTCGCTCCCACGATCAAGTGGGTTTGTCCACCCACTCCTGCGCTGTACTGACCTATATCTTCTCAGCTGAGTCACACGGCAAAGTGGATTGCCGCGTTTCAGCTCTTTTCCTCCCTAGCAGTAATGTGGAAGGCAAGTTTTCTCCAAACTCTGCACTCCAATCACCGAACCGGTTGTTAAACCAGCAGGATCTCCACCGTTGCGAAGAAGCCAACGTTGAAAAGACATGCAAATCTGGAGACTCAGACCATACTCACCTGGGTTCTGATATCATGAGGCTGGGGTGGGATGGAGATGGAGGGAAGAGAGAGGACAGAGAGAAGAGAGAGAAAGAAAAAAGAAAACTTGACGCCTGATCTTTAAAACAATCCACACCCCCCCCCCCCCCTTTTTACTGAATGTACTGTGGCCTGCCAGTGGCCAGCAGAGGTGGCAGCAGAGTCAGACAGTGAGGAGATTGGGCAGGAACATGGGCCAGTCCTGGACGCTGGGGAAGGCTCAGACGAGGGCTCTGCATCAGAGGCAGAGACGGGGCCGAGGCCGTCTGACAGTGATCAGGTGCCTACGGAGCTAGAGAGNCTCTGATGAGGGCTCTGTGTCAGAGGCAGAGAGGGGCCCAGAGCCGTATGCCAGTTATCAGCTGCCTTCAGAGTCAGACATCAGTGAGGCAGACAAACAGCTGGAGCCTGTTCCCAGTGTGCACATGTGCAGAATTGCCAGATGACGGGAACAGTTAAAGAACCGAGGTCATCTTGGGATTAAGGCCACAGGTGGACAATGAACGGCCCCTCCCAGGGGAAACAAAAGAGGAGCGAAAGGGGAGTGGAGTTTGCAGGAGGCTAATTCCTAATTCCACCTGGTGATTCTTCCATTTCCTGGCTGCATTAAAAATGGGCAACAAAGAAACAGGGTCGTTAAAGTTACCTCTATATTCTTCCATAACATAAAAGTCTTCTAAGTATAACAGCTTGCCAATCCAAGGGTCGTAGGTAAAGTAATACATCGCAAAAGCTACAATACTTGCATCTGTGGGGGGTGAAAAGAAGAAGCATTGCTTTAAGGAATTACATCCCCCAAATGAAAAGGGTAAGGCTGTAGAGCGACTAAAGAAATCCAGTTCAGTTTCTTTTAATTTCGTCAACTTAATATGACAGATTTTGTGATGAAAGTGGTTCTTGGAGAAAAGAGGATGTATGAAGATTTAAAGTAACTGCCTACCTAACTGCATTCTGGTAAGAACAGCCTTCTGTTAAAATGGACCAATAAATTAATACCTCTCACCGAGTCATTGTGTTTTATTTTGAACTAGCACATACCCTGGCATTGCCCGGGTATTCATTTATACGGGGGAAATGTCCGGACCAAATGTAATTTCTAATGCTTTTTCTCCTTACCAGAGGGAGCCCCCTTGTGGAGTACTGTGAAGCATTACCATGGCAACTCCCCTGCACTGCACAGTAGAAGCCATTTTACAGCAGTACAGTAGAAGCCATTTTAAAGCACAACAGGATGTATCTTAACAGAACACACACCACGGGGGTTTTTAGGGGTGTCTTACCCCCACAATATTTTTCTCTAGAGGGTAAGTCATCTGTGTACCAAGTTTGGTTGAAATTGCTCAAGGTGCTCCAGTGTGTGTGTGTGAATGTATGTGTATATATGTATATGTATATATACACATACATATACATATATATATATATACCTACACATACATACTTAGCACTTAGATTTATATACTGCTTCTTCACAGTGCTTTACAGCCCTCTAAACAGTTTTACAGAGTCAGCATCTTGCTCCCAAACAATCTAGGTCCTCATTTAGACTCATTTAGTAGATGCAATGGGGCAATTCATGATGTCCAACTCATTGCTGGACAACTCAACCACAACTAACTTGCTGTAGAATAATTTAACAAATCTATTTAATTAGCGGGTTTTTTTTAAAATTTACGTCATTCAGATTTCATTCTGTTTCTCTCCCTCCTTTTGCATCCTTTTTGTAGAATCCTTTTGGATTCTATTCCACCATTTCTTTGATATTACTGTAACTCTTGTCCTGCAACAAGTTGGCCGCAGCGAATTGTCATAGATCTTCACGCACTTGGTGGGAGTAAATGAATTTGTGTGTATGAAAGCACAGCTCCTTTTCACAATTACTGTTGCCTTACCACTAATTGACTTTGGCACCTCCGTTCACCTCGGGCTCAGAAGCAGCAGGAAAACGTCAGAAGGAGCCTCTGCATATCATGAGCACCTCTGAAAGTTCAATTGTTTTCCCCCACTGCCTTTTTATCCTACCTGCCGTCATTGAGAAAATTTAGCAGAATGAGGTAGGCAGAAGTAAAATACAGCCAGCCATTCTACTCCTGGGCTGAACAGAAGAGAGGTTCTTAATGGAAAAATAAATGTGTTGCCATTATTTTTAAAAGGGTTGTTTTATATTTGGGACTCAAAACCAGATAATTCCAGGCACCTATTAAAAAAAGGGTAGAACAGTCTTTTTAAGCAACCCATTTTTTTAAAAGCCTCTTATGCCCTTGGTCCTCCTTTGTTACATTTTTGGAAAATGTGGCTTCTGATAAAGCATAAATCAAATGCTTAGTCCCCCAAATCCTCTCTTATTTACACGGCTGTGAATTATGGTCATTCACAGCCTGTAATGATACACAAACATTCTGTGAAGAGTCTGACAGATGTCTGCTTGAGTTGCAACAATCTTTCAGAGTAATACTGATAAATACCCACCTTTATCTCCCTTGAAACACTGCCAGAGACCTAATTGCCAATTAGTTTTGTGATGCCAAACGAAGCACAGTCAAACGGAGCTTCAGAGACCAGAACAAACATTGCTTCCTGCAAAGTCTCATGTCTGTGTGCTCCTCTTTTATGTCTTATGGGAGGGGCCAATCATCTCCAAGCTTTACTCCTAAGTTGCCCCTTTTGTCTTAACTGTTCTTGCTTTCTGGCAGCTCTGCACGTGCGCACACTAGGAACAAACTCAAACAGTTCTGCCTTGCTGATATCAGACTCCGGAGGCAGCACATCACTACCAGATGGCCTTGGCATCTTACTGAATACAGAATAACAGAGTTGGAAGAGACCTTGGAGGTCTTCTAGCCCAAGCAGGAGACTATACCATTTCAGACAAATGATAGTCCAAACTCTTCTTAAAACAGTGGAGAAGGAAAAGACTGTTGAATTTCTTAGATACTCTTAAGCTCTGAACAGGTACTTTCCATCCTGCAAAGATAACTAGACTCATTTCACCAGCTAAAATAATATATATATTTTGGCTTACCTAACATTACATTTTCCGATGATACCTCTGCTACTAAACACTGGAAGAAGGGATGTGTTCCAAAACCATCTCGAAGTAAATCTGAAAAAATGTTCAATGAACATTGAATGAAGGGTAAGACATACTACATGAAAATCACAAAAGAGAAGATCACCATTGGCCCAAAGCTTACCAAAGACAAAATGGTAAGTGGATGGAAGGTGTAAGGTAGGTAGTAGATAGATAGATAGATAGATAGATAGATAGATAGATAGATAGATAGATAGATAGATAGATAGATAGATAGATAGATAGATAGATNTCCAGGGGCCAAATTTCAAGTAGACTGCTATTCAGAATTAGGAAGTTTTTCTTCCACTCTCCGAATTGTCCTATTCATTAAAAAAAAAAAAAAGGAAAATCACCACCTTGTGTCTGTTGTTGACTTGAATAACACATTTCATGCTAAACCAGGTTACAGGTAGCAAAGTTTATACTGCGAGTCATAAGACGTATACAGCTATAGGATCACTCTGGACCCAAAAACCTTCTGCAGAAGTTGCCCAGGAAAAAGATACTCAGGTATGTCCTTTTCCAAGAATAGCAAGAGTTTTGATATGTTTTAAAACATCAGCATTTTGCATCTGTTTAAATGATATAATTAACTGCATTTCTATAATTGCCCATTGTAAAGAGGCCCTAAGGTAGAGCTTAATGTTAGTTATCTATACATGAAGTTCTTGATGCTCCTGAATTTGGTGGCTTGCTTGCAAATGTTTCATTACCCAACTAGGTAACTAACCTCATAAGCAATAAATTATACCCTAAATCTTGATAACTTTAAGATCTGTGAACTTCAACTCCCTAGAATTAAACTAGGGACTCAGTAAAGATTTTTTTTTTAAGTTCCTTGTTTCATAGTTGGCTGCCAATTCTTTCTTACCACAAGTGACCAGATATGAAGCTGCTTTTAAAATCTGGCCCAAGTCCATTATCTTTATCTCTATTTGTATTTTGTATTAAGGGTGGGAAAATCTTAAATAAAATACATATTACAAAAATTAAAATCTGGCCCAGGTCTTTCTCGTGCTGGCATTTGATGACTTCTAATAAGAATTCTGAGCTAAAGCAGAAATATTTTGGCCAATGTCTATGGAGCTTCTCAGTCATCCAGGTCATGTGCTTTTTATAAGAGGCAACTGGACTTACTGGTTTTTCTTTGGAAGACGTTTTGCTTCTCATCCAAGAAGCTTCTTCAGAAAGTCCAGTTGCCTCTTGAAAAAGAAATATTGGCCAATGCTTTTATTAAAATCAGTCCCTTTTTGGAAGCCACGCTGTTTAATTAGAATAGACTTCCCAGCCAAGATATCCTTCTGGATATGCCATAATTCCGTCTCTTTTTCAAGTACAGGAAGCTTCACGAGTCAGTCATAGCCTCCCAAAAGCTCAGGAGGCTTCTGTAAAATCGGAGGACAAGGCAGAAACTTCAGAGAAACTGACCCAGAGAGAGAGGTCAGACGTGCACAAAGATTATGAGACTTTGGTGGGCGAAACGAAGGCGCCAAATGTCAGGACAGGTGAGATGTTTCTAATTGCCATCACAGACTTTTCACAACTCTGGATCTGCAATTCCCAAATTGGATGATAGTTCATGCAGATTTTGGGGTAAGGGAGGTTGTTTTAAACACATGTGAAAGGCAGCTGGTTAGTGCAGGCTGTATCAGTTGTGGCCCGCCAGTGGCCAGTCACGAACAAATCTTCACACTAAACAAATTAATTGTCTCCTGCAAACTCTCCTCCCCTTTCGCTCTTCTTTTATTCCCTATAGGCAGGGGGGCATTCACCGTCCACCTGTGCCTTTACTCCCGAGTTGACCCTTGTTCTTTAACTGTTCCCTTCTCCTGGCAGCTCTGTATATGCACACACTGGGAACAGGCTGCAGCTGTTCTTCTGCCCCACTGATCTCCGACTCTGAAGGCAGCTGATAACTTTCGGACGGCCCTGGCCCCCTCTCTGCCTCTGACGCAGAGCCTTCATCAGAGCCTTCCCCAGGCTCCAGGACTGGCCTATGTTCCTCCCCAACCTCCTCATTATCTGAGTCTGCCACCAGCTCTGCTGGCAGGCCACAACATAAATAAACCTCAGGAGCAGGGGTAAAATTCAGCAGGTTCTGAAGAACCAGTAGCAGAAATTTTGAGTAGTTCAGAGAATCGGCACATACCACCTCTGGCTTGCCCCAGAGTGGGATGCAAATGGAAATTTTGCAGTATCTTTCCCCTGCCACGCCCACAGAACCAGTAGTAGAAAAATTTGAATTTCACCTCTGCTCAGGAGCCTCTCCCTGATTCCAGAAATGCTTGTCCTAACATCTTTGTGTATATTTGGCAGATGTATTGAAGGTGCCCAAGTTCAAAACAGATGCCAGCCTCATGGACTATGGGCAGGCCAGCCCAGAAGATGCAGATCTGTATAGCAAGAGAAGCTAATAACCTCCAGTTTTCCTCACGGGACTTTGAAAACAGGTGTGGAAGCCCTGTGCAATTTGCTCGCGGTCTGCATGGTGATAACGAAGTCAGGTAGCTTCTTAACTCTCCTTCTCTTGCCAATCTTCCCGTGCAATCCTTAAAATCTTTTTCTACTCGTTAGTGCCACTTCGTATTTTCAACTGGTTGAAAGTATAATTGGCTTCTGGGTGTAAAAAAAAGCCAAGAAGCTTCTCAAGAGATCCTTGCTGCCAAATTAGTGAATAGTGTAAATAACAAAGGATACCACGCTGCTTCTAATAAAAAAAACCTGCAATAATAATAATAAGAGAATTTAAACCACATTTTGTTTTGCGTTTCTTTCTAATCCCTGAGCTACTCAGAAACTGTGCCTGTTTTTAGTAATCTGCAGAAAGATGAGGATCAGGAATGTTTTAAGCCTGTAGAATTGATGGTGCAATTTTCAATCCATAAAAGATCAACGATATAGTTCTGTGCGCATGACTTTAATGAGTATGTTTCCCACACATCCTGTGTGCAATATCAAAGGCCTGGAAATGAAACCATATGATGAACGGCTGCAGGATTTGAGCTTGGCTAGTCTAAACAAAATAAGAATTAGGGGTGACGTGGTAGCAGTATTCCAGTATTTGAGAAGCAGCCACAAAGAAGAAAGGGTCAAATTATTCTTCAAAGCACCGGAGGGCAGAAGAAGAAACAATGGTTGGAAGGTGATCAAGGAATAGAAGCAACCTGGAATTAAGGAGAAATTTCCTGACAGTGAGAACAATTAATCAGTGGAACAGCCTGCCTCCAGAAATCGTGGGCGCTCCATCAGTGGAAGTTTTTAAGAAGAAACTAGACAGCCACTTAACTGAAATAGTACAGATTCTCCTGCTTGAGCAGGAGGCTGAACTAGAAGACCACCAAGGTCCCTCCCAGCTCATTCATTCTATTCTACTCCTTTATAAAGAGAGATATTAGGCTGTCTAGAGGTATAACATCCACGATGTTCAGCTTATGGAACTAGCATTTATGGAATAGGATTGACTTCTTGATCAATCTCCCATTTCCAAGATGCTTTTTAGGAGCGCGCTCCCAAACTATTTTGTTTCTCACGAATGAAGGTAAATATATTGTACATGTTCCAGGATAACGTCACAGGATCCAATCTGTGTGGGTCAGGTGGTTTTCGGATTTCTCCCAAGCTGACCCCTGTAGATGCTAATGAACTTCTGCCTTTAGTCAAGGAGCCCTCAACAACCAAGAGAGCCCATCTAATGTGCCCATGTACCGTATTTTTTGGATTATAAGACGCACTGGTGTATAAGGCACACCAAGATTTTGAAGAGGTAAGTAAGAAAAAAGTATTTTTTCCCTCCGTAGCCCCTAGGAGCATTCTGCAGGCTTCAGCAGGGCTGGGGGAAAAGGCAAAAATGCCCCCGTTCTTGCAAAAAATGGGTGGGAAATGGTGTTTTTTGCAAAAACAGCATTTTTGCCTTCCCCCAGCCCTGCTGAAGCCTGCAGAGTGCTTCTGGGGGCTCAGAGAAGGCAAAAACACCTCCGTTTTTGCAAAAGACAAGACGTTTTTCCCAAAAATGGGATATGGGGACAGGGCTTTAGGAGGCCAAAAATGGCTGTATTCGGTGTATAAGACGCAGCAACATTTCCATGCCCTTTTAGGGGGGGGGGGTGTCTCTTATATTCCGAAAAATACAGTATGTACTTATTAAACAAATATTATTTGGGGGGGGTGGAGATTTTGGGGCACACCAACGCAGCTTGCCAATGGAAAACACCAGACTCCAATCACGTATCAAGCTATTGCCAATCATAAATCAGGCAAGCTTCTTTTTAATTTCGTATGGCTAGTATTTGCCTGCTTTAGAGAGCTTCCCATTTTAGCCAGAGGTTTCCTTGGGACCGATGAGCCGACGGTGCGCCAACCTTGGAGAGAGAGAGATACTCCCGTGTTACTGTCCGGTAGCCATTCTGACGAGGTGCTCTTTATCGAATCGGAAGAGATGCCATCCCTCTTCGGTGGAGAGATCAGCCGCCCCATGCCTCATGTAGTACTCGATCGACGGCTTGTTCCAAACCACGACGAGGAAGTGCATGCAGCTGCAGTTGGACTCGAGGGCGATCTGTTCAAGGGTAAAGCCAGAGGATTTGCATTGGAGAGCAAACACGAAGATATTTGCAGTGCAATGCAGCAGAATCCACTATAGCGGGGGTCTCTAACCTTGGCAACGTTAAGACTTGGGGATTTCAATTCACAGAACTCTGGGAGTTGAAGTCCCCAAGTTCTGAGAGTTGAAGTCCCCAAGTCCTACCGTTGCCAAGGTTGGAGACCCCTGCACTACAGCTCAAATGTTGACCAATACAGCTTGTTGTACCGGTAACAAAACTTAGAATTAGTGACTTCCTTCACAACAGTCATTGCATGCAGAATTGTATACAGGTAGTCCTCAACTTAACACCCAGCATTTCTGTTGATAAGTTAATTTAATTTTGCCGCATTTTAACAACCTTCCTCGACCCTGTTAAGTGAATCACTGCCGTTTTGCTGAGTTAGTTAAAGGTAAAGGTTCCCCTTGCAGATATGTGCTAGTGGTTCCCGACTCTAGTGGGCGGTACTCATCTCCGTTTCAAAGCCAAAGAGCCAGCGCTGTCCGAAGACGTCTCCGTGGTCATGTGCCCGGCATGACTCAACACCNCACCAGGCTCCAGGCTGACTCAGCCTCCCATCCTTCAGAGGTTGGTAAAATGAGGACCCAGATTGTTGGGAGCAAAGATGCTGACTCTGTAAACTGCTTAGAGAGGACTGTAAAGCACTGTGAAGTAGTATATAAATCTAAGTGCTATGGATATGGATATAGGGTAGACATTCTGATTGATAGTTGAATTAATAATTGGAATGAAAGATATTATAACTGTCCATAACATCTTTGACGTAAATGCCAATTCTGTATATTCCAATAACTGAACTGGATATTCAGTTATGAGGCCACTGCTGTACCCCCATAGAAGTTTTGTATATAATTACACAGATTGTGTGTGCATATGTTTATTTTTCTCTCCTGTTCTCATCATACCCTAAACAAACAAAACCTCGCAAACTGTGATGAAAACTGAAATTGTCCTGCAGATGCATAGCATGGAGATGAAAGAGAGAAGATATGTGTGTATATCGTTCACTACCATATGGTCATTCTTAATTGCTGAGATCTTGGATCGTGATATGAATAAATCTAATAAGTAATGTGCATGCATGGGCACACCAAAACAATAGGGAAGATTCTTACCAGTTTTTGGGTTGTTCCTTTTTGTGATTTTGTAAAAGATTGCAATTTTTTTTTGACTTTGTAAGCTGGGAATTCAAAGAATTGTAATCGCAACACATGATTTGCATTAAGTGACATTATTTACTCGATTTTGCCCATGAATACCTGGGGGATGACAAGGGGGAGCAGTGATTGGTGTTGGTGTGTGTACAGTGTCATCCCACAAAAGCTGCCACTTCCATCACACACCACAGGTACAAAACATGAAGACAATTTCTCGTCACTTTGTCATCCCACATATGTATCATTTTCTAATTGCAAATCGCATACACTGGGATGGGTTTACACGTTGCGTAAAAACAAAGAGTATTTTTTCCCAGCCGTCTCTCCTTTCTATGAAGCTGCCTTCATATTTGCCAGTGGGATTTTTTTTAAAAAAACAACAACAACAATGATTTTTTGTTTGTTTGTTTCTACAGGACGCTTACCTCTTCGTCAAAAAGGGAGTCACGACTTCCCTCCAGTTTGGAAAAGGTGGGCGCATCAATAGAGCACTTTGCACCACCTTCTGTTTTGGGGTACTTATGGTTAGCTTTGCGAGGTAATTAGACCAGACAGGAGGCCCAGCTCTAAGCACAGATAGTCCGCGACGTACGACCAGTTTTCCCCATTTTACGACCTTTCTTGCCACAGCTGCTAAGTGAATCACTGCAGTTGTTAAGTTGGTAACACGGTTGTTAAGTGAATCTGGCTTTCCCCTGTGGACCTTGCTCATCAGAAAGTTGCAAAAAATGATCACCGCAACTCTACCATAAATATTTGCCGATGTCAACTCACAACGCACTCCTTGCCGGCTCACGACTTGCCGTAGGCAGAAGCGGGGAACTGCCACGACCAGAAGTCCATTCCACACATAACCTTTCTCCAGATGGAATGCCAGGTTACCAGAGCCAGCTGGAGAGGCGGGGTTTCAGAAGCCCGCAAAAGTACTCCTTTGGAGAATGTAATTTATGACACACCCTGGGAGGGGGAGGGGAAACAGGGTTGTGGTTGGGCCATAAATCAGAGCTGGCTGCACTCAGGAACTGCTGACATGTTGCTCCTAATAAATCACTGGGTTTCCTTTGAAATTTAGCTCAAGACTCATGGATTAATTAAGGGATCCATCAGAACCCTAACAGCCAACTGCCCCACTTTAGATCATGTGATAATTGGGATGCTGGAACAGTTGCGTTAAAAAACGATCATAAGTCGCTTTTTTCAGTGCCGTTGTAACTTCGAACAGTCACGAAGTGAATGGTTGTAAATCTAGGATTGCCTGTACTAACTTTAACTTTATTGCAAGGATACATTAACAGACTCTTGCAAGCCTGAAAGTACAATTTTCCACCTGTCTCTTTTACTCCTGAGAAAGTAGAGAGGGTCCTTTCTGAGCTGCTTGCCCTGCCCATATTCCTTTTGTGGGCTCAGCTGCCTCTTATCCATTATGTAGTCCCTAGTCTTCCTTCTGTCTCTCAAGGCCATTCCCACATACCACTACAACTTCTGAAAATAACCAACGAGATAAAGAACTAACCACGATTGTTTTGCTTCTCTTGAAGATGTGTTCTTTTACCTGAAGAATCCTCCCCCAGAATTTCTCCCTAAAGTTGGTGTGATCACAGTTTCAGGACTGACCGGAATAATCCTAGCCAGGAAAGGTAAGATAATGCTTATTGTTACAACACTACAATTATGGGGAAGGAAGCTACTCCAGATGATAAGAAAAACTGCACTTATTAGAGTGATCTCTGTTGCTGTGTTCAATTTATTCTTAACCTACAGCCAGTATCTGCAGGGGTGTGGTTAACAATAGTCTAGATGGCAACTGTGAAGGTATGATGGTAGCTCTGCCCTCTATGTGATGGGCACAACTTGGATTACAGTATCGCGGCTCCATCTTGGCTTTTTTTGACCGTCCTGTGGGGATACCCCACTCCAGACTAAGTTAATCATTTTACCTACAGCTTTTAAAGCTGCAGCTGTGGACAAAAAGAAAAGATGCAGCTGCTTTAAAGAGTTGCCAGCAAATATTATAGGTTCAAACCCCCGTGACCCGACAATTGCGTGATAGACATATGTGCGCCCACAAAATAGCGCCGATTAAAACACGACGTCAAAATAGCGACGACAAAAGCGCAATGACAAGCTCAATAAAGCACAATAAAATCGAGAAAAGGTTAGGGTTTTATTTATTTATTTAATTAGTTTGTATGCCGCCCACTCTCGAGAGACTCAGGGCGGCTTACAGGTAAAAAAGGAAGGGAAGGACATACAAAGAACAAACAACATTAAAAAATCCACAACATTCACAACTTAGAATGGGGCTGGACAAAATCAACAGCCCC